TGCAGGTAGGGTGTGGATGAAAATGCCAAAAGGAAAGCTCTGTCGTGGCCAGCTTGTGTGGAAGAAGTCAGCTGAGGGCCATACAGTTTTGTCTTGGGCAGCAGGCTATGGAGGTAGCTCCTTGCCCAGGAGAACGAATAAATGAGAGGTCTGAGAAGGAACAGAATGATGCTGTTCCTACTGGTGTCGCTCAGTGTCTGTCTCAGCATGAGAGTCGGTGCTGAGCAGGTGGCTGGCCATGTCATGGATGGAGAGATGTGCAGAGCGACCAGAGGACACAAGAGCACGAGGACAGCGCAGCATGGGGCAGCAGTCGCTCAGGTGCTGGCCTAGAAGAACGAGAAGGAGCAAGCCGAGAAGCTGAAGGAAGGACCCACTCCCCAGCTCCATTCGGTTTTCGTACTTTCTCAAGTGGAGTGGAGTCCTGTGCACAGGGTGCTGAATGTGGCCCAGCCTGGCTATGCAGGAATAGGACTCAGGCTGTTACTAGTTCATTATCTGTTCAGTAAGTGAAGTGCCCAGTGCATGCAGGCGTGGGAAGAAGTCCTTCTGGGTACAGTGGGAAACAAAGAAAAGAACATGCTTGCCCTCTGGGAGAGAGGTCATAAAAGAGTGACCTGCAGACATTAACATTTTGATTGTGTATACACTGTGTACTCATGAAACGGGGCTGAGGATGGTTCAGATGCAGGTATTTTATTTTAGCAGCACAAGATGGGTTGAAATGGTGGGAACAAAAATAAGATAGCCTGTGGAGGAGAATTGGGCAGGACTTAGGGCGGTGAAAAAGCACAGAACCTTTGATGTGGCATTTCTGCTTTTAAGGAAACAGGCTCCGTCTTGGGGGTGGGGAGGAATTAAATTGGTCTGCAGCAGTGACCGCAGAGGATCATGCAGCTGCTAACGGCAGCTGAGGGCTGGGAGGACTTTGGATATATTTTTAGCGGGTTTTTTGTTTGTTGTTTTTGTTTTTCGAGACAGGGTTTCTCTGTGGCTTTAGAGGCTGTCCTAGAATTAGCTCTTGTAGACCAGGCTGGTTTCGAACTCATAGAGATCTGCCTGCCTCTGCCTCCCGAGTGCTGGGATTAAGGGCATGTGCCAGCACCGCCCAGCATATGTATTTTTAGCATTTTGATATAAACATTGTACAAAGTTTCAGGGTAATTTGGACTTGTTTCTAAGACATATACTTGAATGAAGAAAAGCAAGATGAAAAATAAAGTTTTGGTCAGACATGATAGATAGTTCAAGCCTGTAATCCTAGCATCTGGGAAGCTAGAGCAGGGCATTGCTGTGAGTTGGAGGCCCACCTGGGGTGTATAGTAAGTTCCAGCCCAGTGTGGTTCACAGCATGAGACTCTTTCTTCAAAAGAAAAGAAAGGACACCCAGCAAAATGGCTTAGTGGGTAAGGGCTCTCACCTCACAAGCCTGACCTCCTGACTACCCAGAACACAAGGAGAGAGCTCCTCGAGATGTCCTGTGATTTCCATTGTGTGACAGTGTGGCTCCTCTACACCTGCACTCACTCCATGTTACATGTGTGTGAGCACACACCCCCCATCATAATGAACATATAAAAATTTTAAGGGAAAAGGAAGGAAAGAAAGAAGGGAAGAATCTTGTGTATGATACAGATATTTCTGGAAGGACCCAAGGTATATTGTGCTTGGGGAGGGTGTCTGGGGCAGAGTGGATACCCCCAATTCTTACATACATATCTTAAAGCTTGATAATTTATGGGGTAGGGTTGTAGTTCAGTGGTAGAATACTTGCCTAACATGCAGAAGTCCATTAGTCACATCTCCATCAGTAATAAGAAGAACTAACGATTTCCCTAAAGAAGACTTAGAAAGAAACTAGGTGAGGTGCACACCTGTAACCCTAGCAGTTGGGAAATAGAGGCAGAAAGATCAGAAGTTTAAGGCCAGCTGTGGTTAAATGGTAAATTCAAGGCCAGCTTGGGCTACATGAGACCTTGTCTCAAAAACAGAGAAAATATTAAGTACTTAAAGATCACTGATAATGTAAATATTTGTATATGTGATTATATGATTTTATTTTTACTTAACAGTATACATGAACATTTCCTCATGGTTGTCTATCTGTTGAGACAGGGTCTTGCTTTGTAGCCCAGGCTAGCTGGACCTGCAATCATCCTCACGTAGCCCCCTGGGTAGCTGTGATTCCAGGCCTATTTCACTACAGGATGAAAAATTGGAGAAAAGTGAGCTTTAGGTGTTTATGTGTGAGCTGAAAACTCCCTAGGGCTGTGTTTGGATCACTGTCCCCTGAGGGATGGGGACGATTGCTCTCCAGGATTGGTTTTGGGTCTTGGCGGTGATCTTTCTCTGTGCCAACAGTGTCTGTTTTCTGTCTGTGCAGCTCTTAGGGTCAGACAGAGTAAGAGCAAGGTCAGAGCCCCAGGGAGCGTGCCCCAGAGAGAGGCTGGCACTTCGTATCAGCAGGTAACTCCATCTGCTGGTATCAGATCCCGAAGAGAGGCAAAAACAGTGCAGTGTTCTGGCAGGCGGAGCCTTTCCCTGGAGTCATTCTGTCATCCCATAGATACGCAGCAGGAGGAGAGAATGGGTGGGTGGTGGGTGAAAAGCAATGTGATCCCGGCCTATTTATAGAGCAGTCCTCTGTAGCAGGTGCTGAGTAGAGCATCCTAGAAGGAAGCAACAGAGCAGGTTGGCTCAGTTGCCAAGCTCAGGCCTTTCAGTCTGGTGCATTGGAAACCCAGACACAAATCCCTCTTTTCATGAAGAAAACGGGCTGCAACAGATGATGCGGGCTGCCCAGAGTTTAGCCCATCTCATGGGCAGCTGGTGTCACATGGGGAAACATCTGAGCCTGGGAGCCACATGGATCTGCCCGAGACCTTTCCAAGTCAGGTTATAAAGCGATACACAGTGCTATTTACTAGGTAGGGCCCTTGAGAGTGATGGATATAAAACAAGTGCCTAATGATTGTCCTGTCACTCTTTTAACTGGTGACATTGTCATTTGTACTTGTTACTATGGTGTTATCACCATTGCAACGAACCATTTACCTGTCCTGGGACTTTGAACAGTTTCTCTAGAGGAAGTGGGAGGCAGAGTGACTAGCAAGCAGAAGAAACCACTACCAGGAATTCCTTTAGCCGAGGCCCTCGTCACAACTAAGGAATCTAGACAGGGTGCGCCATCTGCTGGATTCTGAGGGGACTGCCTTATACAGAATTTGTATCCTGCCCTCCCCCCCCAACTACCTACACCTTCATTTTACAGGTGGGGAAACTGGCCTTTGCTCCAAAGAATAGACTGTGATGTACAATACGTACATGTACATATGATGTATGACACAACCCCTAAATATCAGTGTCTCCTCCTTACATCCATGGTTCTCTTTGCTCCAGAGTGTTGTCTACCACAGGGCTGTAGTGTTCCTGATTTCACATCTCTGTTCCCACTCCAGCCTCCTCCGTGTGCCTGCCTCACCTTTGCCATTGGAGGGCTCATGGGAAACTTGAAGCCGGCCAGGAAACTATCTAGTAAACAGTTGCTTTCCACTCACCTGGTACCCACATGCTCCTCTGTGGGTCCTATTTCAGTAGCCATGCCTCTCTCTGTCTACCTCCTGACTCATGTCAGAAAACCAAAATTCAGCCAGATAGTGCCTTGTTCCTCGGGTTGTGTCTAGAATCCGTCTCAGTGCCTGCTTGATCCCTCTGCCTTCTCACACCTGGCCTCCCACAAGCCTCTTAACTTACTCCCATCTAGGCTCTGCTCTACATGGACTTGGGATTATCTTTGAAATGTACAATTTGTCCTCATGACCTTATCTTAAACCCTCCAGGGTGTGGTCTGCCTCTGTCTGTCCTCAGTGTCCTCGTCCCCTCCTGCAAGACCTTTCTACTCTTGCACTCTACCCCATTGTCCTTTCTCAGAGCCTCAGGACCTGCTGTTCCTTTCTTAGGACACTCTTTGTCTCTCTTGTTACATTTTTAATTGTTACTTTGAGACAGGGTCTCATTCTATTATCCCAGAGCTCTCTATTGCAACTGCATAGCTTAGGCTGACCTCAGACTTACAGCAATCCTCCTGCTTCAGTTTCTTGAGTGCTGGAATTACAGCATGGTGTAAGCCACTATGCCCAGATTCGTCCTACACCATTCTTGGATGTTGATGGACATGGTATCTCCTGACCGAGTCTTGGTTGGGTCCTGGCCATCCCTGTAGCTCTCTTGAAGCCCTGGACACATGATCATGACCTACGCAATGGCAGCTTGATGCTGAATACAATGAACTTTAACTTTGAACAGTGGGAAACGCACTGACTTGTTCTTTGCTCTCTCTGTAGCTCCTAGACAGTGCCAGGCACAGGGTATGGTAAGTGTGGAAGTTCTGGTCATCAGGTTTACTTTGAATAAAGAGTGAATGCATGTTCTCGTGTGTGTGTGTGTGTGTGTGTGTGTGTGTGTGTGTGTGTGTGTGTGAGAGAGAGAGAGAGAGAGAGAGAGAGAGAGAGAGAGAGAGAGAGAGAGAGAGAGAGAGAGAGAGAGGGAGAGAGGAGAGAGAGGAGGACAATTTGCAGGAGTTTTCTCTTTCTACCTCATGGTTTTCGGGGATTGAACTCAGGTCATGAGGTGTGGTGGCAAGCTCCTTTACCCACTAAGCCTCTTTCTGGCCCTCACACATGTTCTTTTATTTTTTTCTTCAGTAAAACAAGGTTTCTCTACATAGCACTGGCCATTCTGGAGCTCACTCTGTAGACCATGCTAGCTTAGTGCTCACAGAGATCTTGCCTCTGCCTCCCAGGTGCTGGGATTGCAGTCATGCACCATCACCCAGCTCCATGCTGTTCTATCAGTGTGTATAGTAGTCTAACCGGGGTTGCAGTGGTTTTGGTTCCCTTTCTCCTGTGCTTTGTGCTCAATTCCAGTGGAAAAGGTACTTGTGTCATTTTGTCAGAGGATATCAGTGCCTCACTTTTGCTCTCTTGCTCCTGTCCCCACAGGCTTGAGGAGCGATGCGACAGGCATGATGGAGGTCGAGTCCTCCTACTCGGACTTCATCTCCTGTGACCGAACAGGCCGTCGGAATGCAGTCCCTGACATCCAGGGTGACTCAGAGGCCGTGAGCGTGCGGAAGCTAGCTGGAGACATGGGCGAGCTGGCACTTGAGGGGGGCAGGTCAGAGCCTATGCTGGGCATCCCAGTGGGCAGGTCGGGTGGTGAGGGGGCAGGTCAGAGCCTATGCTGGGCATCCCAGTGGGCAGGTCGGGTGGTGAGGGGGCAGGTCAGAGCCTATGCTGGGCATCCCAGTGGGCAGGTCGGGTGGTGTTCTGCTAGCTCTTGCTAGTCTCCAGGTCCCAACTTCCTCAGAGAAGTGTATTTAAATTGGGCTGCCCATGGTCAGTGGCAGAGCCTAGCCAATGTCTGTGTTAGAGGATACCAGCATCTTGGTCCTGGGGGCACTGGCAAGCATCTAGGACACTTCAGAACTCTGTGATATATCTTAACTCCCTCTGCCTCATCCTCTCCATCCCCATATTACCTGCTGTTCACCAGGGGTCTCTGCCCTTGCACAGCAGACAGAAGGACTTGTTAGCTATCCAGTCCTGCCAGGCTTCTGCCCCAGACTCCCTGGTAACACCTCAGAGCCAAGATGCTCTCCAGTGCTCCACGGAAGTCATGCACTGCTGCCAGCCTGCCTGGCCTTGGGTTCTCCTCAGGCCTTGTTACCCACAGCTTCCCCCACTCACCCTTGTCTAGTTCTGTCAAGGTGCAGAGCTTCCCTGTCAGGGCCTTTACTTCACTGTTGCCCATCTGGAGCATCCCCAGTGGAGCTAGAGCCACTTGCTGTCCCTTTACTCTCAGTCCAGCTTAGCAGATGCCCTGAGCTGAGGTGCTGCCCCAGCCATGTCTCCCTCAAAGTTTCTGTGACTCTGAGCTCCAGGAGAGAGGGGCTTCTCTTTTTCCTGCACATGGCAGGTAGTTGGTGACCACAGGCTGAATGACCCAATGACGAGATCAAGAGGAACCACCCAGTAGTGCCTGGGACACCCTACTCAGCTCAGATCCACAGGCTCCTCCCTCCCTCCCTCCCTCCCTCCCTCCTCCCTCCCTCCCTCCCTCCCTCCTCCCTCCCTCCCTCCCTCCCTCCCTCCCTCCCTCCCTCCCTCCCCCTCCCAGTTCTCTGCTGCAGGCACCGTGGCCATGCTTGCCATCCACGCCCCTTCCACAGTACACTGTGTCTTCCTCCTGTGAAACTCCAGGGGCATCAGTCCTTGTAGGGCCATAACATTATCTTTGTCTGGGTGGCCCCAGTCTAGAGTTCTTGGTCCTCGATGCCCAGAAGTGACTTAGGGGGACAGAACAGAGATGTTGGGGACAGGGACCCTACTTCTCATGTAATAGAAAATGGCTGTAGTTCATATGACATTCTCCATGCCATGAGACAGTGCCCTGCCTCTTAGCCTCAGAACCTCACCCAGTTGTCCTGTTTGAGGCCCCGTCGGCCTCCCTTGTCTGGCCCCTCCTTCTTGCTCAGGTGTGGACACCTCCACAGTGCCCATGCTACGTCCATCTGCGGCTTCAACTCTCACTCCCCACTTTTTGCTCTCTCTTCCAACCAGAGTAGAGGCCTGCGGGCTGTCAAAAGCTGGGCTGGGCTTCGTCACCAACTGCATGGTCCATATGTGGTGGTTGCTTCTCACTGTGGTGCCTTTTATGCTGGGGTTTCCCTGACCATAGCTCGTCTCTAGCAGGGGAGCCCCTGCCTCCTTTGTCTCCATGGCCTGTAAGCACTCCCCCCCCCCCCAATCCCCAGCTGCTCCAGCCCAGGCTGTCTCATGCCCTCTGTGACTAGCAGTGTTTGGCACGTGACAGGCACCTACTCAGTGACTGCTCTGCTCACTGCCCCGCCGAATGAGCAGTGTGTCCAGCTGGCACACTAGGCACAATGCCAACAGTTTCTTCAAGGCTTCTGTGCTCTCGTCAGCTCTAATCGGCTTTGTTTGGTGCTTTTCACCCTCCTTGGCCATCATAGCTGCTGGTCCCCTCATGTAGGCCCTTACAACACTGCTCACCCTAACTGTGAGTCTTTGTGGTGTCTGGGTTCCCCCCAGCACACACGTGATGCTTGCTAGCCATGGTGACTGATGTCTAGCTCTTTTTTGTTGTTGTTGTTTTGAAACAGGGTTTCTCTGTGGCTCTGGAGGCTGTCCTGGAACTAGCTCTTGTAGACCAGGCTGGTCTCAAACTCACAGAGATCCGCCTGCTTCTGCCTCCCGAGTGGCTGGGATTACAGGCGTGTGTTACCAATGCCCGGCTCTGACTGATGTCTATAAAGGAGACATGAAGACAGAACCGTGCTCTCTACCATGGATTATAGCACCTTTGTAGAGTTGGTGCAAAGTGATCAGCTATGAGAAGCCTCTGTGAGGAGGCCTCACAATAAAATGTCTCCAGGCATTTCAGTGCCCAGCAGAGTCACAGAGATAGAGGACAGAGCCTTAAATGTCACCCCTGAGATTCTGACCTAACAGGCCAAGGGCCCCAGAATTTTTCTCTGTCACAACTTCCAAGAGCCAATGCACAATGAGTAGGATGGGACCATATTCCTCAGAGGCTTAAGAGGTCCTAGCTATGTGGTCTCCCCAAGCCTGTGGCCTGCTCAGTGTGTCAGCACTCTCCAGTGTGCTGTGTACGAATCTATCTGTCCCTGGTGTCTTCCAAGGGACAAGGAGCAAATGTCACTTTCCTTTGCCTAAGAGGAAGAGAAGCCACAGGCTAGCCATGGAGAGGACAATGCACTGACCCTGGGTAGCAGTTTCTTTCTTCCCTGGGGCTGATAGGAGAGGACCCTCTCCTCAACTAAGGGGAAGCTGGGGCTGGCACAGAGGAGGTATGATTGTTAGAGAGGACTTAGGGTCACATCCTATACTCCAATAAGCCAGGTTCAGATATCAGTCCTAAGTATGCCAATTACGGGAACCAAATTAGGAGCTGGAGTGATGGCTCAGTGGTTAAGACCACTTGCTGCTTGTGTAAAGGACCCAAGTTTGGTTCCCAGTATCCACATAGCTGCTCACAGCTGTACATAGCTCCAGTTCCAGGAGACCCAGTGCCCTGTCTGATCTCCAAAGGTACCATGCATGCATGTGGTACATGTACATGCAAGAAACACACACACACACACACACACACACGCAGGCAAGACACTCACATGTCAAAATAAAATCAATTAAAAGACATTTAAAGAGCCAAGTTAATATGAAGAACAGGAAAAGGCAAGTTATTCAGTGTGGACACATTGGGAGGAAGAACACAGACATCAGGTGACCCCTCCAGGTTCATCTTTGGGACCCTGGCATGAGGGCAGGTTTGAGCAGAGGCCAGAATTATGCATAGCTAAGCAGTCCTGCACAAGGTGTGGTTCTGCCAGTCATGGACCCTTCACTGTTTAGGGTCTACTGTCCTTAGGATCTGACAAGTTGCAGAGCTCTTCCCAGGAGAAAAGTCCCTCTGTTTGGCTCAGGCTTTAGGCTTTTCTTCAGCAGATCCTGGGGGCATACCTAGTTTCTTGGGGTCTGTTGTTTCAGTAGTCTGACAACCCAGGTGAGGGACACAGTCTGTTTAGAATGTCTTTATCCCTGCCAGGCTGGTTACTGCAAAGTGACCTGCTACAGTTTCTAGCAACAGAGTAACAGAGCAGAGACCATGTGGAGTTCAAAGCGAAGCTAATCTGCTGATGCAAATATTACCTCGGTTGCCTTCATGGTGTTAAGCCTCCAGAGGCCCAGAACCTTGTGGAATAGAGCCTTGGTTCAGTCACCATCCTCAGAGGAGGTAGCTTAATGCCAGGCAGGCTCAGACTGGCACATACTTGAGCCACAGTGCCAAGTTCTGGGCACAGTATTTGCTTTCATTAGCACTCAGGGCCCAAGACTCCATGCCAGGCACTGGCAGGCCATCATGCCAACAAGCCTCTAACTGCAGAGAATGCCACTCAGTGGAAGATGTTGGACAGCAGTAAGAGGCGCTCCACCTTTTGGTCACAGGTACATCCATCAACTCTCCCCATGAGCCTGTTTTCTCATAGGTCTCCTGACCCCAACCACACCTTCAGGTTGTTGTGTGGACTGTCTGTGCCTGCAATGGCCAGACCCAGAGCTCAGTTCAGACGTAAAGACTGGCCTGATGGCAGAATGAGATGGACCTTCAGTGGCACCACCGTGTCACTGGGGCTGGAGACTGCACGACTGATTGAGCTTTGCCCTTAAGCAGGCTCTGTGGAGGATGCTGACTCTGGGAGGTTGAGGACAGAGAACAAGCTGGGTACACTGCTGTCAGGTAGCTGCTGGCCCCGCCTCCCAGTGGGGCTTGAAGATGCTGGGAGTGAGGAGACCCAGCTCACACAGGGACTTGAGAGCAGGCCAGGTTGCTCCTCTCAGCCTACCGCTGTCCCTCACTTCAGCCCAGCCCAGGTTTCTGGCTGGGTGCTGGCAGTGGTTACTGAGTCAGGCAGTCCATGTGTGCGTCCTCTAGTTGGGATGTGCAGGCCGTGGTGGACACTCCTGAGCCAGACTGGTTGAGTCTGCTCTACTATCCTCAACGAAATTCCCATTTACTAAGCACATTCTTCTTACCAGTCACAGTTCCCCCACTAGAGAGCACACACTCATGTCACGCTGTTAGCACCTGTCTGTAACCCTGACTTTACTATACTAGCATCCCTGCCGGCCCTTCCATGGTAAGAGGGAGACATGAGAGAGCAGGTTAGTGCCTCTCTGGCTTGGGTCACCTCCTCCCCAGCTCTTAGCCTGCTCAAGATGCTGACCACATGATTAGTTTGCCTGGTCCTTCCAGACCCCCTGTGCTTCAGTGTGTAAATGTGTCTAAAGCTTACTTCTCTCCCCTGCAGAAGGACAGGCAGAGGGAAGTACTCCAGACAAGGAGGCCAGCAGTCAGCCTGAGAGCAGTGATGCGAACACCTCGTCTTGAGTCTGCCCTTGATCCTAGAGGCTAGAAGAGAGAACTGCTGTCCCCTCCTGCACCTGGAGTCCTGGCACAACCCGGCAGCCTCTTCTGAGCCCATATCCCAGGCCTCGTGGAGGCTTCTGTGGCCCCTCCTCCAGCAAAGTCCTGTGCCCACACCCACAGGCTCCACTCCCCCACCTCCCCATGGTGCCCAGGTATTCCATTACCATGGGATGTTATTTATTCAGCTAGGAGGGGCTCGAGCCAGGCCCTGCACCTAGACAGGGACTGTCCCCACACCATTCATCCCTCTAGCCAGCTGCCTACGTCAGAAAGATCTTCCTAGCCCTTTTTTAAAGCCTCTTTTACATTTTTTAAAAACATAACTTTTTTCAGCAGAGAAGGGAGAGCTGACAATCACTTTTTTCTGTTTTGGTTTTGGTTTGTTTTAAGCTTAGTTCTGATGTTCTGTGCAGCTCTAAGTTCCCCTGTGGAGTCTCACAGATCCAGATGTAGGGAAAGGATTTGGACTCAAAACTAAATGACCAATTCTTTGCCCTTTGTACCAAGAGGCCCCAGGAAATAAACTCTGATGATTTGTGTGACTGGCTTAAGATTCTTTCTTTTAACCACCACATCCTCAGCCAGCAGAATTCCACTGCTGCCCTCTGCCCTGTAGTGACCAGCACAGCTCCTCACATGGCATCTGATGAGCCGTTCCTCACCTCTTTCTCACACAGCCCACGGCTACAACAAAACCTGAAAGGGGGCCTGTGGCTTGGCTCTGTGTAAAGGAACTTGCTGCCAAGCCTGACACCCGAGTTCAGTCCCTGATACGGTGGAAGGAGAGAACCAGCATTCACAAGGTGCCCTCTGAAATACACATGCACGCATGGAACCTTACAGCTATCTAAACCCTAGGTCCAGGGGATACGACACCCTCTTCTGACCTCCTCTGGCACCAGACACACACATTATGCACATACATACATGTAGGCAAAACACCCATTTACATAAAAATGAATAAGCCTTTAAAATAATAAAAATAACTGCAAAGGACTCTGATTAAAGAAGCCAAGAGTTCAGGAGCATGTGCTCAAACGCCTCTGGAAAAATGTCACTTCTGTTGGGAAGGTCCTGGCTCCTCCCAGCCCAGGGTCCAGTGTGGGGCCCCAGAGCTCTTCCTTCTTACCCACCCCAGCCAGCAGCCCCACAACCACATTCACCATGTGCTACAGGGTATCAGTCACCAGCTGCTTTATTGAACACCAGATTTTTAGCCTTAAAGGAAGGTTCCCGATTCATACCCACAATTGGCAAGGCCCCTGGGCCCTAGCCAGAACACCTCATCAGAGAACAGACTTGGCCAGTCCAAGGTCGGAAAGGAATGAAGGTAAGAGTGTCACAGAGTTGTGCAGATTCCATCCGCAGGCTGAGGCTCAGAGAAGTGGCCTTGTCATCTTCAGGGGACTTGCCCTGCTGGTCAAGTCAGAGAAGTAGAAAGGTCAGACCACTTGTAAACACACAAGGCATTGGATAATCCCAGAATTCCAGGCCCAGAGAGTGACTTCCTTCCATAGATAGCAAGACAGGCTGCAAGCAAGGGAATGTGTGGTTTGCCAAGGCCATGTACAGAAATGAAGGGACTCATGGAACTAGGACTGGGTGGACTTGTTCAGGTCACACCCAGGTTGCTCTGATGGTTGGGAATGGTCTTCGGAAAGCCTGTCCAGATAGCGGCTCAGGAAACAGTCACCCTGGCAAGAGGCTGACTGACAACTGTGCCCAGAAGCCAGGCAGTCCTCACTTATTCTCAGCGTTGATCCCCAAAGGACTTGTGCCAGCCACACACAAAGTCAAGGAGGGTCAGGATGGGGTTGTTACTGTGCCCCAGCAGAGGTATATGGTCCCCCAAGGATTTCTGCTACAAGGCACACATAAGGTCAAAGAGGGCAGGGATGAGACAGTTGCTGTGCCATGTACCTTCAGCCTTTGGTGGCCATTGGTATGCTTTATAGAGCTGTTCCAGAACCTCCTTCTTCTCTTCCTCAGGGAGGAAGCTCGACTTCGCTGCATTGATGTTCTAGGAGGAAAAAAAATGGAGTCGAAGAGCAAGGAAGGGAGTGGCATCGTGTGAGCCAGGGAAAGAGCCTTGTATTGAGCCACAGGACAGCATGAGCTGTAGCAGGGACCATGGTCCCCCATACTCTGTGGATGTGAGGAGGTTAGATGTGGGGCAGAGGACCTTCAGGGATTCACTCAGAATATCAGAACCCAAGACCAAGGTCTCAGCCTAGGAGCAGCCTAATGGCACAAAAATTTCCACAGCCAGACACACCTTTCTGGGGAGAGGGACCAACCCAAACAAAGGCTAAGCCACCTGGTTCCTCAGCTGGGATTCCAGTGCCAAAGCATCTCTGTGAAAGGCTTTTGGTGCTAGGCTCAGCTTGGCCAACCCACTGTGGGCCTCCAGAGGTTCCAGGCAGTCCTCACACAGACACCTGGGCCAAGTGTCAGGGCCACAGCTCACACTCACCAGTCGCTTGAATTCTTCCTCAGTAAAGCCCATGTCCCGTTTGGTCATCTGGTAGTCAGTGTCCAGGGTGGACTTAAAGATGAGAGGGTCATCTGTGTTGAGTGAGTAGTTGGCCTGGTCTTTCTTGAAGCTGGGGGGAGCAGCCAGCGGGGAGAAAAGAGCCCCTTTATTCCAAGAACCATCGCTGCACCTCTCCCCGCTTCAATCTTTACACAACTTTTAGACAAAACGAAGGGTTGCATTATGGTACCAAGGAGGACACTTAGAAAGCCCAGGAGCTGATGGAAAGCTGCCCTGCCAATCCTGAGGCAAAGGCAGAGGAATGACCTGAAGTGACAGCCAGGGAGGAGGGCCGTTTGGAGAGCAGGAAAGCAACAGTACCCGAACTACCATGCCCTATAGGCTTCCTCTTCTCAGTACTGGAAGTGTGGTTGGCACCCTGCCACCCTCTCCTAGTGAGGCTACAGTTCCTTGCCATATGGCTCTTCAACACATCACGGACTTCATGTAACAACCGTGTCCACCATCTTGTTGAGCTTGATACAACCTATTTGCTTGGATAGCAGTATTCAACACCTTTTTTTTTTTTTTTTTTTTTTTTTTTTGGTTTTTCGATTCAGGGTTTCTCTGTGGTTTTGGAGGCAGTCCTGGAACCAGCTCTTGTAGGCCAGGCTGGTCTCGAACTCACAGAGATCCGCCTGCCTCTGTCTCCTGAGTGCTGAGATTAAAGGCGTGTGCCACCACTGCCCGGCTTTTTGCTTGTTTTTTTTTTAAGATTTATAATGTACAGTGTCCTGCCTGCATGTATGCCTGCAGTCCAGAAGAGGGCACCAGATCTCATTACAGATGGTTGTGAGCCACCATATGGTTGCTGGAAATGGAATTCAGGACTGCTGTAAGAGCAACCAGTGCCCTTATCCTCTGAGCCATCTTTCCAGTCCAGTATCCAACACCTCTAAAATTTCTATTTATTGATGGTGTGGGTGTGCATGTCATGGTGTATGTTTGGAGGTCAAAGGACAATTTGTGTGGGTCATTTTTCTGCTTCTTCCATATAGGCTATTGGGTTATCATGCTTTGGAGCACAAGTACCTTCACATCCTGAGCCATCTTACCAGTCCCAGAAAGCACCATTCATTCTGACACCACACTTTAAAAAAAAGTATTTAAAAATTTTGTTTCTGTTTTGTTTGTATGTTTGCCCATGTTTGTGGGTGTGCAGAGCTAGAGGGAGATGGTGGCTGTCTTCCTCTCCCGCTTTATTCTTTGGGACCAGGGTCTCTCCCTGAGCATGAAGCTTACTATTTTGAGGCCAGCAAGCTCCAACAATCTCCCGTATCCACTCTCCTCCCTAGTCGTGAGGTCACAGGTGTGCCCGGCCATGCCTGGCTTTTATGTGGGTGCTAGGAATCTGAGCCCTGGTCCTCGCGCTTGGACAGCAAGCACTCTTGGCCACTCATTTGTCTTCCTTGTCCTTGACACCATGCTTTTGACTTTCCTTCTGTCTGTTTCTGCCTGTCCGTTAATGTCACTGTTATGGGTTCTCTCCTTAGTCCTCTTCATCCACCGTCTCCTAGAGTCTTTGTTCTTCAACCTCTGTATTTGAATAGCCGCTTTGAACCTTTAGCCAGTGTGCTGTAGACCCATGTGCCTCCAAGAGCTGCCATTTGGTGTCCCCCATGTACTCAGGAAGCCTAACTTGTCATCAGAGCACAAGCCTTCCATCTGTGTAAGCTTGGCTGATAGACCAGTGCTGGCCTATCCCTAGTCAGCCCAAGTTCTTGCCATCTGTATCCTGCCTTAGGAGAAGGCAGCTCTGTCCTCATGAGCCTCTGATGAAGGCCTGGTCACAGCCCAGGAAGGCCTTGTTCTTAGTTGCTGATGGGAGCCAGGTAGTATGGAAGACAGACATTCTAGGGAAAAGCTTCAAGCTGGCTTTCAGGGGAGTGCCCAACAGCACCAAAAACAGTAAACACCCAGACACAGAGAGAGGCTCATCTGCCCACAGCCCAGGAGACAGAGTTGGGTGTCAAGGATGTAGAAGCTTCTCTTGGGAGGAGGCATTCTGCTGTGGCTGATGAACTATGGGACCCCAGCTCTACCACTTAGTAGGTGGGGACCACAGCTGGGTCTGCACACCTGTTTCCAACCAGCCAACATGACTTCGTTACTAAGAACCAGGATGACCAGGTACCCATTCCTACATTCCCTCCCCTTTTCGGAAGAAAACCAAACCCAAACGGGTTCCAGGAACCAGATCTCACCGAACAACTGCATGCTCCGTTTTGGGATCCCAGGCGCCTGTGAGATAGCTGGACCAGGGGCAGACCTGCAAGGGGCAGGTGTGTGGCTGGCACAGTGGGCCTCAGGCCATACCCAGAGGGGCTGAGCCACCTCCTGTGGCACCATCCTAGCCAGCTTTGCAAGGACACCCGTGCTTCAAGCCCTTGAAACCTCCACCATCTGACCACTCCCACTCAGCCTGCCTGTTCTCCCACCTCTGTCCAATAGGCATGGGGTAGCCAGAGACAGCGCCTCACCTCAAAGTGCATGTTTTCTTGTAGTAGCCTTGTATAGAGGGCCTGGTCCTCCAGTGTGTGGTAGCCATGTCCAACCCTGTTTGTCTTGAGTACATCCACAGCCTGTGGAGAAACAGAGAGGAGGTAAGTCCAGGAGCGGTATCGGAACCAGGAAGAAGAGGCCCAGGGTCCCTTGTTCCTTACCTGTTGTACAACCTCAGCAGAGCCTACCTCCCCAGCGTGGACGGTGCGGTGAATGCCACTTTTCACGGCCCCCTGGAAGGGGAAGAAACAGGTCAGGGGTAGCTCTGAGAGGTTCCCAGAAAGCACTGTCTTTGCCACACTTGGGGGTCTAAGCTTTAGTGGATGTCCTCAGAGTCAGGCTAGTCTACTTTACTAAGTACATGGGACTGTGTGGCCTGGTTTCCCAAGTCATGAACACAGTGGAAGCAATCGTTACTCTTTATCTCCTGTGCACGGATACTACGTGAAGGGTTTAAACACATTGTCTAGTATCCTAAAGCACCCTGGAGTGCGAGAAAGCCAGGTTAATGTGACCACGGCCTATTATAGGGGTGAAGGGAGAACCAAGAAATGGGGCCCAGAGAAGCAGCAGTTCCGTTCAAGGTCACACAGCAAATCACAGACAGAGAAGCAGCAGTTCCGTCCAAGGTCACACAGCAAATCACAGACAGGCAGACTCAAACAGCTCTCCCATCACCACACAGGGACTTTTGTTTACCCCTTGTTCTGAGTCCCTATCCCCAACCAAGACATACTTGGGCACTCAGGAGGCTCCAAGCTCACCATCCAAGCTCCCCCAGGCCCATCTTTCCCTTTCTCAGGCCCACCTCATAGGCTTGCACATGGCCTGGGAAGAGGCTGCTTCCTTCAATGGTCTCATCGCCAGCCAGGTCAATCCCCACCACTGTCCTCTGATGGTACTTCTTACACAGCTCCAACACCTCAAGGGACCAGTCTGGGAGAGAGGTTCAATGGAACGTCCTCAAACAGTATGGGAGTAGGGCTGCCCAGCTGTCCCACCGGCTGTTCTAATCCCTCATCTGAGTCCAGAGAAGACATAAGATGCAGCGTCTTGTCTTCAGATCCTGACTACTGTGTCTCACAGTCCCCTTTCCCAGAGGAGTACCACCACCACCGCACATGGCGAGGGTCTGCTGAGGCAGAGGCTGCTCCCTCAGTACTTATCAACACCCACGGCAGGCTTCTCTCCATGCAGAAAATCTAATATTTAGCCCATAATATAACTCAGGAATGATAGTTCATTGCTAACGAATCACGCACTTTTATATTAAGAGCCCTATAAAGTTATTATGATGTGAGCTTACGAGACAACTCAGTGGCTAAAACCATAAGCCTGATGACTGAGTCTGAACCCCAGGCTGCATCGAGGGTTAGAGAAGAGACATACAGGCCATGCCCTATTGTAGCAAACCCTGCAACCTCACATCAGCTCTTGGCTTTGGTTTCCAACAATTCTTAGGGTACAGGCACGAAGTGAGGGTGACCATCCCTGGGGGAGGTGTGAGGGCTCAAGAGGGGTGATGTGACTTGCCTGGGGTCATGAAATGGGTTCTGCAGGCTGAAGCTTGAGCCCTAGATGTTTGGCCAATGTCGTTAACAGAGGAGGAATCTCAGACACCCCAGAGACATGACCTATGCAAGAGGCTTTGGCTCAGATAGGACCGGGCCAAACCACAGAGTCCTGTGGTCTTAGATGTTTCCCTATTGTTCAGTTTCCTTTGGCTGTGAGCTTCCTGTCAGTCATGTGACTGTGAAGACCTAGATGCCCTGTTAAGGAGACTCACCAGAGCTGCTGAGAGTTCACTGATGTCTAGAAAGCTCTGGACACATGGGTAGGGGATTCTGGGATAGAGCAAGTCCAGCCCTGTGGCTAGGCCAGGGAGGACATAATGATACTCACTGGGTTGATGACGCATACAGCACAGTATGGACCGGGCCTTGACCCCGAATGCTTGTTCTCCCTCCTGTAGGCCTTGGTTCACAAGATCCACAACGTCATCAGGGGTGACGTCCCCTCTGTGTGGGGAGAGGAGGAGGGAGGACTTCAGGCCAAGGGAAGGCCATGGGCAGTCATGGAACTAGAGCAAGAGGAGCAGCCTTGCCCCTGAATTATGTCCTCCAAGGAGACACATGGACATGATTGCAAGCCCCTGGGTTGTGGCCTCCTTCCTTAGAGCTGTCTTAGCACTTCCGGGTCATGGCGTGGGGATGTCAGCCCTCCCTGTTACTAGATGGAGAGGGAACTAAATTTGGGCCTGTTGAACTGCCACTTTCTACATGTATCAGGATCTTGATTCAGAGGGAAGAAGCAAGGGAGCTTCAAGATATTTTAACATGCAAGAGGTCCAGACCAGAAGACAGGAATGGGCCAGACTCATTCATTGAGCAGAGCCTCTAGAAGTCACTGGCTGAGCCAGACAGAGTCATGGGCAGCTAGCCAAACATTTCACTTAAGGCAGACATATAGCCACAAGCAGAGGGATACGGATCATGCCTCTTCCGACTGACGCCATGGACCAGGCCAAGGCCAGGGCTCTTAGCACTCCATCCTCTCTTCTTGGCTGGGCAATGCCAGCCCCCTCCAACATTGCCACTCACTCGGTCTGGTTCCAGGGGATTGGGTCCACTTTGGAGTTTGCCAGCAGGTGTGGGCTGTAGCGTACTTCCACATAGACCACACCCTCATTCGCCTTCATCTCCACAAACTCATAGGCAATCCTTTTGATGGCCTCCCTGGAGCCCCTGGGAAGGGAAAAAGACAGGTTGGCAACAACTTTCCTCAGCTCCTTGGGAGCTCCAGTAGTAAACAGGTGCCTGCAACCCTCCTCAGGTCCAACCTAGCTCTCATCACTTGGGCACCTGCAGAGAGGACCCAAGCCACTTGGCAAGGCCCTGGGTTGTGGCCTCTGAACTACAAACTCATTCTTCTCCCTCACCCTTGGGTGACTGGCTGCCTCTAGTGGGCGTGTCTTCATGTTTGCCCCGAGCTCCGTTCTCCCCACAGCAGTGAAATGGAAACCAGGAGGGCCAGTGAGATGGCTCTGTAGGAAAAGGTGCTTGCTATCAAGCCTGACTGCCAGGCTGCCCAGGGCGGAAGGAGGGCACAGACCCCTGAAAGTTGTCCTCTGATTGCCCTTCCCCAACCTAAAAGGAAAAGTGAGGGCCTAAGGGTGTGGCTCAACCGTGGGGCTTGTTCCTAGCATCCTCCCACCCCCATGACTTCCAATTGTGTAGAAAGAGCTGACTCCATGCCAGCCCCAATGGCAGCCACCAGCTTCCCTAGCATCTTGTACTTCACATTCGTCCTCTGGCCGAGGACCATCAAGCTTGTCCCTCCATCTCAGGATGCCTCGCTTGCCCCAGCATCCTGCCTGCTTCCACCTAATGCCACCTGAAGACCCTGCCCAGGCCTCCTCAGACAACCTTCTCTCTGGGTATCCTTTCTCCATGACCTGATCACCACTTGACATTAGACATTACATGCTTTTTTAAAGTGCTATTTCCCATCTCCCTTCCTCTCTCTTGTCATGGCTGTGGCACTTCATCCAAGGAAAGGGCTAGGACACAGTAGCCAAATATTTGTTGAATCGATGGATGTAAGGCTGGAAGGGAAGATAAAAGGACACAGAGGGCTGAATCCAAGACTCTGGAATGGACAAATGCTATTTAGTCATGGACTTACATAGTCTGTGTAATCCTGGGCTAGTCAGTTGCCCTCTCTGATACTTATATCAAAGGGTTATTGTGAGGACAAATGTCCGAAACAGCAGAAACCTTACCTAGACCAGCACTTGGATTGGGCAAATGTTACACTTGATCTCGCCAAAGGGCCAAGAAGTGATCAGCTGGATGCTGTAAAGTGTATTAGTTGCTGCTGACGAGCGTGGCCTCCTCCAGCAAGGCACAAAGTAGCCCATGAGGGCCTCTGTGAGCACTGGTCAAATGCTAATGGACTGTCCTAGTTAGGACTTCCTCCAGAGCAGGGGGAATGAGCAAGGGAAGGCTAGCAAGTGCCCCAATGGTCCCCGAGTGAGAAGAAAGGGCCCGGCTCTGGGGAAATGGGTCACTCCTGGGAGGAGGTTCGATGGATGGCAGAGGAACTGGGTCTCAGCTCTTGCATAGGGAGGGGCTTACTCTCTGCCTTTCCCAGCTCCAGACCCCACAGCTCTCCCATAGCTGTGGTTCCACTCATTCTTCAAGTGCATACTGAACACTCATGCCAGACCCAGACCCTTATACACAGTGAACAGGAACTAGGATCCCACTGAGCCCTCATGCCAGACCCAGACCCTTAGTACACACGAACAGGAGGTAGGATCCCTGCCTTTTGGTTACCTTCTGACAGGAGAGCCAGGTAAAGGTCAAACACAGTCCATCAGACGGAGCACTATGGATACAGATAAACCAGGAAGTGGTGTGGAATGCTACAACACGGTCAGCAAGGCTTCACCGAGAAGGCACACGGAAGATATGTGCAAAAGGTAACCCATGGGCTTCTAGAGAAAAGCACTCCAGGCAGAGAGAACAAAGACGGAGGACCTGAGGCTGGGGTATGTTAGTCCCCAGGGTAGGGGAGGAGTCAGCGTCTGCCGAAAGTAAGGGCTCAAAATTGTAGGGCCTGTGCACCTGGCGTGTGCACCTGGCATGTGGGCTTTGATGTTCGCTCTGAGGGACACGGAGAGAAGCTGGTAAATTTGGGTCAGAAGGCTGGGCTAGGTTTTCAGAGTCTGAGTCCTTTCTCTGTCTGATACTCTCCAATGACAATTCGTGGGCCTTTTCAGAGACTTGTAATGATCCTCATTCAAGCAGTGACACAAGACATCAAAGAACAACCCAACTCCATCTCCATTTCCCACTCCAGTGCTTGGCCTGGCCTGCCCTCCAAAGCTGTAGACTGGGGTGTGGGGAACCTGACTCAGGCGCTACCCTGCTCTGCACCTGTGTCTTTTCTTGACCAAGGGCTCTTTCTCTGAGATCTGTGATGGTGGCATGGGTCTCGGGATATTAGGTGTTAAAGGGCAGTGAGTTCTGAACAAGACATCCCATAGCCCAACCAGCACAGGGCTTCAGCAGAGACTCCTCTGTCTCTGAATGGGGTAAGAGATTAGGAGTCCAAAGGTGCAGGAGAGATTGGCAGGTGCACACCATGATAAGAACCAAGGCTGGAGGTTCAGGGTGCCTCAGTCTGGTCTTGGTTACAGGGATGGGTTTGCCCTGGGACAAGAGGATCGGGAGGCAGCAACTCACGCGATAGCAGGCATGTAGTAATCAAACTTGGCCAGGAAGCCCGGGAGCGAAAGGGGCTTGTCCATGCCGATGATGTCACGCAACCCTTCCACTGTATCTGCTGGGAGGGCGATGCCTCTCTTCCTGAAAATAAAACAGGGTGAGGGACTGCAGCCAGGGCTTAGTGGGCAAGAGCACTGGCTGCTTTTGCAAAAGACGTTGGTTTGCTTCCCAAGATCTACACAGAGGTTTAAGACCATCTATAACTCCAATTCCAGGAGATCTGATGCCTTCCAGCATCCTTGGCAGGCATCAGGCATGCGTGTGTTACACATTCATACGTACTTGCAGGCAAAACACTCAGACATATAAAATGAATTTTTAAACTACATTTAAAAACAAATGAAAACAAAATGTGAGATGCCAGGCCTCCCAAGGCAGCACGGAATAGACTGGTAGTCCTGGCAAGAAATAAGGGGATCCTTCCATCTAGCTTCTCCCCTGGGACAGACAAGGAAACTGAGCTCCAAGGCCCAGAGAACAGAGTAGAGGTCTTCTAAGACTTGTAGTCAGAAGCCACAACAAATCATGGCATTTCCCATCCAAGTACTCCAGGCCAAGCCCTGCTTGGCTTCTGAGAGTAAATGCATTCTGGGTGGTATAGCCAGAGACAAGTCGATACATGTCAAGGGACTAACAGGTTGGCTGATGTCAGGGTGAGTACCATGGCAAGTCCAGGACTTCCTCATCAGGTCCAGGGGTAGGCATAGATGCCTGGACATATGCTCAGACACACTAGCTGTTGTGCAGTATCATAATTCCCAGGGCAGGAGCTGGTCTCAGGACCTCACTCTGCCCTCCTGACTGGCATGTCATAGCAGACTGCCCCACCCAGCACAGCTCAGGACTCTGCCCCATTCCTATCCCAGCACCTTGGAGTCTGCTTCCTACATCAGGAGCTCTGCCTCCCTGTGGACTGAAGAAAGCTGGTGTGAACTTGGTGTCCCTTCTTCCTTCTGCTGTCTCCACCCGCTGTGACTTAGGTCCAGTGCACAGTGTCCCTCTAGGCCTTGGTTTCTCCTATTTTATCACCACTATTATTATTATTGGTGTGTGTGTGTGCGTGCGTGCGTGCGTGTGTGTGTGTGTGTGTGTGTGTCTGTGTGTCTGTGTGTGTGTATTTAAAAGGGAATATAAAGGGGCTCAAACTTCAGCTTCACAGCATGCAGAAGCCCTAGGTTCCATTCCCAGCACAGCCATAAAATAAGCCCTAGTCCCCGTAGTTTCCCAGTAGGTTAACACCTAGGTCTCTGTGCTCCAGCCTGTGTATCATGAATCCTCACCAGTCCCAGGTCCCCAAAATTTACCTTGGGAATATGCTCCTGCCCCTGCTGTGCTCCTGGCCCATAAGGCAGGTTCTCGGTACCCCCTGGTCCCTCCAGGTTAAGCTTCTTGCTGCTGAGCAGGCTACCTAAGTCACCTTCCTAAGGCCATGTACAGCCATGGTGAGAGCCTCCAGGGGGACACACTGCTAACTATGTTCAGAGACAGTGGTCAGACTGCAACCCTAAAGCCCAGAGAATGGTGAGGCCATCGTAGGCATCTGGAGACAGACTGCAGATAGACAAGAGAAGGGACAATGGTGGCTCAGAGTAATGCAATGATGGCACTAGAGGGAGGTCATATACTTTACAGAGAGGCCACAGGGTGGGGAAGGGGCCTGGGAAGGAGGTAAGAGGCACTATGAAGGGCAGAAACCCAGGAGCTGGAGGAGGAAGAGATGGCTGTCAACACAGTCACCAAGACGGAGAAGGGGTCACTGGCTTGGGCACTGTAAGCCAGGGCCTCTGCTGCCTGAAGGCTCCAAGGCACCCTTTCACCCCCCATCCCCGCCCAGAGCTCACTGAGACTAGAAAAATTGTTCCAGTCACCCCACCCAATATCCACTTCTTGCTCTTTCACTCAAGGATGCTCATGCCTTCTTGACCTGACTAATGAGCCTTCTTTGACCATTTAATAATGCCCCATTAGAACCCAGTGTCCCACCCAAATGACCTCAGCAAGGCTCTGTGGCAATAGCTACCAGCCCCAAATGACCAAAGGGCAGAGGCATCCCCCGACACTGGAACCACAGATGCTGATCGTGACATCTGGGAGTGATCTTTATAGGGCATCCTAATATGCACTGAGCTGCTTGTTTTTCAGGCCTGACTTTACAGAAATCTCTGGTTGTGTTGTTGATAGTAGAACAGACTCTGTCAGACCCTTGGAACCCTGCCCTGTGCTCACGAGGAAGCCTTTGGCCTCCGTGGCTCCATCTTCCCATCTGTAACACGAGGTGAACAAGAAAACTGCCCCCCCCAAGCTGTGGGAAGGAGTCACTAAGTTAGCTCAGTGTAGCGCAGCTGGGGTTGTGTGCTTATTATGTCACATAGCTGAGCAGCAGCCACATCCCAGGGCAGGAAAAGGTTGCTGGAAGCACAACATGGAGGAGAGAATGCCTAGCAGAACTCTCCCAGAGGATGGGGAGCTGTGCTCTAGAGCTGGGAGACAAATTCCCAAGTGGCACCTGGATGCCTGGGGAGGCCATCTCATGGGACAGAGGAAGAGCTGAGGCTAGATACCAGAGGCAGTGGGGAAGAGCTGGGTCCTTCCAGCATACACAGAGTGCTTCATGGCAAAGGAGTGGAGGATGCTGGGGCAGGGGGCTCACTTTTCCTGACAGCTCGGGAGGAAGGATGCGCGCCTCCCACCTCCAACCTGTGGAGGCTGGAGTGGAAAAACCCCAGGACATGGCCATCCTCTGTCAGGGGCTGGCTTGACTCCCACAAGGGACGGACAGAGTCCTGGGAATCTCCAGGGCCCCCAAGAAGTGCTGTACATTGCACTGAATCCTCGAGAGGACTGTGGTTGTCCGTGGACTTACTTGCCATAGTATAAGATGGTTTCCAGCTTGATGGCTCCATCCAGGTGGACGTGCAGCTCTACCTGCAAGGGACAGAGAAAGGGCATGAGACACCACAGAGCCCGACCTGCAAGGGACAGAGAAAGGGCATGAGACACCACAGAGCCCGACCTGCAAGGGACAGAGAAAGGGCATGAGGCACCACAGAGCCCGAGGACCCCTTCAGAAGCCCCCTCTTCCTGGACACTTAGTCAATACACCTCTTCAACTGTTTACACGAATGCTCTTGCCTAAGCTCACCTGTACGTGTTGGTGGCAGGGGCGGCCAAGGCTTGTGCTATGTAGTTCACAGCTCAGGATACTAAATGCCTTGTCCAAAGTCACATAGCAAGCAAAGGAAGCAGGGACACAGCCCTTGCCTCAGCCACAGCTGGGGAGCTACAGAATCATCACTCTAACCCCAATCCAATCCCCAAACTTGTCATCAGAACCACGAGGCCAACCATGGGCCCAGTGGGAGCCGGCCACCGGCCCACCAGAGCTGCTACTCCCAGACACTTCACTCAGTCACCTCTTGAGTTGAGCAGGAATAGCCGAGTGCAGACACCTCAAAAGCCAGGCTCTGGGACTTGGGGAGACAGCTCGGTTTATAAAGGACCATGGCACAAGCATGAGGACTTGCTTGGGTTCAGTCAGCACCCACATAAAAAAAGTGTGGTTGTCCACACTTTTGATTCCGGAGCAGGGGAGATGGAGATGGGAGGGTCCCTGGGGCTCACTAGCCAGTTTAATCTAATCGGTAAGCCCCCGGGGCCCTGCGTGAGCACATGTCTCAAGAAATAAGGTGGGTGGCACTTTAGGAATGACACCTGATACTGACCTCTGGCCTCCACATGCAAACACATACACTCACACACTCACACCTGAATGTGCGTGTGCGCTCTCTCTCTCTCTCTCTCTCTCTCTCTCTCTCTCTCTCTCTCTCTCTCTCTCTCTCTCTCTCTCTCTCTGTGTGTGATAAAAGTCAGAACTCCAGTGGAGGGTACAGCTCTGTGGTAGAGTACAGACTTGGATGTGGAAGTTCCTGCACTCCAACCCTAGCACTGCAAAGTAAATGCAAATATATGAACATCAGGCTCGGTGTCACAAACAGGTGCTAGTCCAGCCTACCTTAGCAGGCGATATATTTGGCAACTAAGTCTTTCTAATCCTCTAGAAAGGGTTTTGGTGATCATCCCTTATTTGCCCAGTCCCACGTATGACACCTTGTACACAAAGCAAGACTACAAGCAGGGGCTTTGGAGAGAGTCCATCTGTCTAGGCTTCCTGCTCTACCCTTGTCTGGCTGATCTCTGATGTTTGACCTCTTTGGGCCTAAGCTTCAACTGAACAGCATGGGACAGGACAGTCTTCTACAAAAACTATGACCAAGACTTTAGATAGTGACTGGATAGGTGTGGCCCAAAGGAAGCAGTCCCTGCCTCTGGGAGATGGTGTTTTCCATGAGCTGTTAACAGGTACAACAGGTGCCAGGAGCCAGTGACCTAAGGGACTTTGTATCTGCCCGGTCCAAGTCACGGAGGAAACTTCCTGGACCAAGGGAGACCCAGAAGTGGTATTTCCTGAGGTGTGGTCATGTCTGGAATCTGGTGACCTAGGTAAGAAGGTTGGCAGGCCTGGCAGGAAAGAGGAACATCTGGGAACTGCTGGCCCAAGGGACAGTGCCAGGCACTCTCACAGAGGCTGCTTCCAGCAGAAGAAGCCAGGCCCAGGGCAACAGTGAGCAGAGGTGACAAAGCCTCTAGCAGGCAAGGCCTCAGGGTGACCAGCACTCCTAAGGCCATCCACCTGGAAGAAGGCTACCCCACTTGGTTAACCTTGAAGCTCCACACCCATGGAGCTGTGTTGCCTAAAGCAAGTGACTGCACCTCTCTGAGCCTTTATTTTCTTACCCTAGGTGGAGTGGGGTGTTATCCACCCAGAAGCCAGGGCCATGTGACTGGGAGGGATCTCACACACACAGTGGGAGCCAGCCTCTGGTTCACTTCTTTGCAATCTGGAGAAAGATACCTCATCGCGCCTCTGGGTTCTCATGTCACATGGACAGAAGAGCGCACCTTTCCCCTAGGTCTTCGTGAACCCCGTGGGTGGTCCATCATGAAGCTCTAGGTATACAGCAATTGCTGAAATCCTGCCATCTGTGTTTGTCTTTGTAAAACAGTCTCATATAGCCCCCAATTCACTTCGATAGTCAAGAACGACCTTGAACCCTTGGTCTTCCTGATCCTTTATCTCTCAAATTGCTGTCTGAGAAAGAATCTCACTATATAGCCCAAGCTAGCCTGAGATTCATTATTAGCTCAGGCTGGCCTCAAACCTGCAATCCCCCTGCATCTGCTTGCCCAGTGTTTGGATTATGAGCATGAAGCCACCATATCCAGCACTTAGGAGTTTTCATTTGCTGGGAGTACAGAAGCAAGCAAAAGAGACAAAGTCTTGTCTTGTTCCTCTGGCATGCACAGTCCAGCAAGGGACAAACTAGGAGCATGTGGATAAGTACACACTTACAAACCAAGACGGTCCCACAGGAGACATTAACTGTGCCACGAAAGACAGCAACACACAAACGTAGCTAGGCAGCAAACAGCCTCCCGGCAAATCTGGACCAAGGGCTGAAGGCTGCACAGGAACTAAACGGGCAAGTGAAGGTGAGGAGGCAGGCAGAAGAGCATTTCAGGCGATGAAAACAGTATGCGATGGGGAATGGGGTGTGTGGAGGAAGGGAAATGCTGAGAGTGGGGACTCCAGGGCAGCACCACCCCGAGAGGCCAGCATAAGGTGTGAAGCTGGCAAGAGAGGGAGGCTGAGAGAGGCCGCCACAGACAAGAGTTTAAGGCTGGGGTCTGGCACCAAGCCTTGGTTTAAGCCAGCGCTTAGTGCAGGGGAGGCAGAGCCTGGGGAATAGAGGCCAGAGATGGGAGGAGACTGGAGGACACGGCATACAGAGGAGCAGTGACCTCCCTGGGTGGGAACACTGGGGCAACCATGGGCCCCCAGAGTTGCCTGCATCTCAAGCCCTAGAACCAGTATAAGGGGGACCTTAGATGGTAACATGGGGTCACCCACAATCCTAGATGGTAACATGGGATCACCCACAATCCTAGATGGTAACATGGGATCACCCACAATCCTAGTAACATGGGATCACCCACAATCCTAGTAACATGGGATCACCCACAATCCTAGATGGTAACATGGGATCACCCACAATCCTAGATGGTAACATGGGATCACCCACAATCCTAGTAACATGGGATCACCCACAATCCTAGTAACATGGGATCACCCACAATCCTAGTAACATGGGATCACCCACAATCCTAGTAACATGGGATCACCCACAATCCTAGTAACATGGGATCACCCACAATCCTAGTAACATGGGATCACCCACAATCCTAGTAACATGGGATCACCCACAATCCTAGTAACATGGGATCACCCACAATCCTAGATGGTAACATGGGATCACCCACAATCCTAGTAACATGGGATCACCCACAATCCTAGTAACATGGGATCACCCACAATCCTAGTAACATGGGATCACCCACAATCCTAGATGGTAACATGGGATCACCCACAATCCTAGTAACATGGGATCACCCACAATCCTAGTAACATGGGATCACCCACAATCCTTAGTAACATGGGATCACCCACAATCCTAGTAACATGGGATCACCCACAATCCTAGTAACATGGGATCACCCACAATCCTAGATGGTAACACATGGAATCACCCACAATCCTAGATGGTAACACATGGAATCACCCACAATCCTAGATGGTAACATGGGATCACCCACAATCCTAGTAACATGGGATCACCCACAATCCTAGTAACATGGGATCACCCACAATCCTAGTAACATGGAATCACCCACAATCCTAGATGGTAACACATGGAATCACCCACAATCCTAGATGGTAACACATGGAATCACCCACAATCCTAGATGGTAATACACAGAATCATCCACAGTCTTGGGAAAGCTTATCCTGGACTCTCTAGGTGGGCCCCGAACACTCTCCCCTCCTAGAAGCATAGGTAGAGGTGTTTTCACACTCAGGACAAGAAGCAACAGTGTGACCACAGAGGCAGAGATTAGATCCATGAGACCATAACCCTGGAATGCCTGACACTAGCAGAGACTGGAAGAGCAAAGGGCTGATTCCCTGAGCTTTTAGGGTGAGCATCACCCTGCAGGCACTTTGATTTTTAGACTCCTGGCCTCCAGAACTGTAGTGCGTGGGCTTGGGGTGGATGTAACTGCCTTTATTTTGTCTTTTCAGTGCTGGTGATGGAGCCCAGGATGTTTAGTGGCTTTAAAGCCACTTAGCATGTGGTCACCCGTTACAACTGCCCCGGGAATCTCATACAGCCAGGCCCTGCCAGAGGTCAAGGCAGGGAGGGCACAACGATGCCCCTGAGTCTCGGGCTGTAGGAACCCTTCAGGACACTGAGGTAGTTTTGGGAAGTCATTGGTGTCCCAGTCCCCTGGGTAGGTTCAGGCACAGTGGTGCGACTCTGTGCTTCTGTATTTTGGGGATGCTGGCAATGGAAGCTAGAGCCTCGAGCAGGCTGGTAATCACTTTTTTAAACTCAACCCTGTTTCTGCTTTGTTTTGTTTTCTGAACATTCAGTAAAGGCTGAGAAGAATGCCCCGGAGCCCCATGCTAGAGGCCTGAGCAAGGGTAGAATCCAGATAGGGAGAGTCATGGATAAATGCAAGTGAGAAAGTGGAAAAGGCTTTGATTATTCTCCTATCAACCATACTTGTGAATGGCTGACACACGGCCCAGGACGGGGCAGAGGTAGATGTGGATCACAGCAGCTCGGTTCTTTTAGGGTGGCAGCAAGTTGGCCACATTTGACACTGATTGATGAAGGAGATTACTGAAAAGGGGGAGGAGGGCTAGGGGGCAAAACAAAGCCTGGCCTACGAGAAGGGGGATCAGACAGTGAGTCAGGGCAGGGTCTCTCTGGTCTCTGTGTCTCCATCAGTGGGAACCAGAGGTCTGCAAGAACACACAGAATGCACTTACATGTCAACACGAGATGCCTCCACAGTGCTCTCTGCTGCAGTGACAATTGTCAGGATGTGACTGCCCCACCTGCCAGCCCCCAGGAGACCATCATGAGCAGAAAGGCTCCCGGAAGCTCCAGGCAGATAGCCAGCGAGCCAGCTCTAGAAGCGTTCACGCTGTCTTAGGCTGCTCTGTCCTGTCCCACTTACCAGAACAAGAGCTCTGCTGAGGTTAGAACCACAGGCTACAATGACACAGAAAACTCAAGGTGAAGAAAATCAGACACCAAGGGATACAAGATAGCGTGTCCAGAAGGCCCACCTAAAGGAGACTCACAGGACAGATTAGGCCAGAGAAAGAAGGACCAAGGGGTTAGCATGTGGTGGAATCAGGAAGCCTGCTGGGAATTGTTCACAGAGATGGGTTTTCAACGGAAATATTTTCAATAGGGAGGCAACTCTTAAAAGCATTCTCTAGCTTCCCGGGTGGAGAGCAGGCTGGGTGTAAACCTCAACAGAAGACTGTTAATGGGTCCAGACAGGAGCCAGCTACTGTACAGGGTGTACCATGCTGTACACACAGTAGGTGCTTGGTGAGCAGGAGTCCAATATACAACTCCCTGAGGAGGGTCTCAGAGAACCACGAGGGGCCGACAGCACCTCTGGGGCCAGTTGTCCACCGTGACCCACAGAAGCTGCCACGTGGAGCAGGTTGGTGGGGAACAGACACATAGACCGTCTGCACAGACAGCTCAGAATCTAGACAGGTAGCCCACTGAATGCTCCAGAAAACTGTTACTGAAAAGCCAATCCATAAACCCAGATGGCAATGGAGGTACACATTTGGAGCCTGAGGTGGGGTCCCTGTCCCCCTGGCCATATTCAGGAAAATGAGCAGTTGGGGAGTAAATTAAGTCTATTTGAGTGTCTACTGTGTATGTTACAACCTAAAGGCAACGACTCCAAACCCATTTTACACAAGAGGAAACTGAGGTTCAGAGAAGTATGTAAAGCAGTTCTCAACTGTGGATTGCAACCCCTTTGGAGGTTGAGCAACCCTTTCACAGAGGTCATATACCAGATATCCTGCATATCAGACATTTACATTATGATTCATAGTAGTAGCAAAATTAGTTAGGAAGGAGCAACATCAATAATTTTATGGGTGGGGGGTCACCACAACATGAGCAACTGTATTAAAGGGTGGCAGCATCAGGAAGGTTGAGAACCACTGCTCTAAAGAGTCAGAAATCAGTCAGTGAACCCAAGTCTGCCCTTGAGCTCCTAACCACTGTCCTGCCGGCCTCACCACAGCCAGGACGAACCATGGCAATAGAGCCAAGGCTCTCAGAGCTCCCGCTGTCCTCAGACCCTTCATCACATTTTCTCGTGACCACCAGGCAAGGTTCCCATTAGATCCAGTTGCTGCTGCATAAATGGATTTGTGAAGTGGAGCTCAGAGTAGTTTAAGGGCCTCCCTAGAGCTGCACAGACCGACAGCGGAGCCAAGTCAGGGCCCAAGTCCTCTGCCTAAGTCCAGCCTTGCTCACGGCCACGGCACCATCCTGACCCTGGTGCCAAGTCTCGGTCCAGCCTCCTGACCTCTCTGGAGAGGAGTGTCACGCCTCTCTCTGCAGTCACTCTGCAAGACTGGCTCATAGTTGGCCATTATCTGGGAGAATGGCAGGAAGCCCTCCTAGGGTTGCTGAGGACAGGAAGCAGCTTAGTAACTGACAGATAATTACTGTGTATGAGGAACTAAGGAAGTACCAAGAGAGGTGAGGTCCGGAGAGGTGCTTTCAGGTCACAAGACATGCTGGAGACAGTGGGCAGAACCAGGACAAGGGTCTGAATCTTGGCCCCAGTAGGACAATGTGTCTCCAGGCCTCCACACACCTAAACGCCTAAACACACAATCCTTTTTCTTCCATTCCTTCTCTCTCTTTCCCTCCCTCCCTCCCTCTCTCTCTCTCTCTTTTCTTTTTTTTATTTTTTGAGACAGAGTCTCTCTACATAGCCCTAGCTGTCCTGGAACTCACTCTGTAACCCAGGCTGGCCTCAAACTCACAGAGATGTGCCTGTCCCTCCTCCCAAGCTCTGGGGTTAAAGGTGTGCGCCACCGCACCTGCCTCCCGCTCTGCTGTCATTCCGGGTCTATGCCACTCTATTGTGTCTTAG